TCCCCGCAAAAAAGTCGGGGAGCAAATTGCGCGGGGGGGGGGAGCGCTCCCCGCGTTCTCCGCCGGGGTCCCCGACGGGGACCCCGTTCCCCGACGAACACTAGTCATAATATTAGTTGAATACGATGTGATACTATAACATAACCGGATTGAACAACTGCATATGATTGCGTATTAATCGTAGATGAAGCTTATTTAACGATAACGGCAACAAGGACAATGTACGGTGATCACAAACAGGGGTAGGGATATGAACAATGACATGTTCATTACGCTGCACCAATAATACTAATGAATAGAGCAAGCAGTAACAAGCACAACAATCAGATCCACTATCGAATCATAACATAAACAAATAAAATTATCATTGTTAGATGATATCATATAAAATCAAATCATTACAATTACATTCGCACATGACCATTTTCTAGAACATCACATACACACACACACCCACATCCAAATCTTGATATCATTTACTTATTTACCTACTCATCTCTTTTCAGTTCAGACATCTAAATATCTACAAACGCACATGGTTCAGAACTGAACCCTACTGGATTAAATGTGCTTACAAGTTATTTTTGTGACTGATTATTAACGACTAAACAAAACGCTGAACAGTGATAATAATAATAATACTGATAATGAATAAATGTAAATTAAAAAAACGACCACACAATATCAGCGACCACCAACCACAGCACAGCGCATAGCCAAAAAACCACATGCAAATGAACCAATCAATAAATAAATAAATTATTTCATAATCCCATCAACTAATCATTCAATTAATCCACTATTTAAACATCAACAAAATACAGTTGTATTTAACTCAGTTCTCACATCATTACCATTATCATTATCATCACCATCATTATGGCTATCAACCATTTACACTCCAATCCAACTAACTTTACTTGAACCGCTTGCCATTTTCTATGACATATTCAGTAGATTCATTCTCGATTTCTTCCTGACCGATACGATCATAAATTAATGAAATTTTTATGAACGCGGACAAACAACCTGTGGTGAAAGCTATCATTCTCAAGCTATTATCATATCAGCCATCTCGAAGGGAGCTAATTTTGAAATTCCATTTCGAACATATGAAAATCATCCTCAAAAGTTCTTAAAGCATCGCTTGAAGATGTTTAATACAAGGAAAAGATACTAATTAATGTGTAAAGCATAACAAATTTGGATCAACTTCACGTACACAGATGAATGGATAAATGGACGAAAAAAATGATTTTCTAATGCGGATAAATCAAACGAACAAGCTTTTCCTCCTATCGCTATTCTTCGTGTTCTCAACCAGAAACGCCGTGCAGCAATTAACAACAATTTTTCACTCATTAAGCCAACCAATAATAATCATACGAAATCACTTTCAGTAGATTCGTTCTACTATCAGAATGATCGCTTAAGCAGGTCGTCTAATGCGCATTAGACGAACGCGCATATAATTTGCTTGTAGTAAAAGTACACTTGAACGGTAATGATGATAATGATATTGCTAATGAAAGAGTAAAACTGCAGTCGTATTTTTAAACAGCTTGTAATCTTGTGGTTTAAATAGGGAAGAAGAGCATTAAAGTGATTGAAATGAATGAATTCGTTTTGGTATGTGGTGGTGCGCTTACGGCTTGGTCGGTTGGTGCTGAACTGAGCGGTACCGGTATTAGACGGTCAGCCATATCTCCACCAATCACCTGCAATCAAAAACAGAACCACAAAACTGGTCGATCGTCATCACATCAGATCAGTTCACATCACCTATCACTTCTTCACTTAGTTATAGCAATTAGTGTTACTCGTTAGAAGACTGATCATGTCGCTGTTAAGGGTCATCAGAAGAAGGGCCAAGAGCTCCCTCTCAACAAATCGTATGTCCCATCGTTTAATCACAAAAAAATTCAGGACGTATGGTGGGGCCGTTGCTGCTGTGACATAAAGAAAAAAAAGATGGTGGAACAAGCAATATTCAAACTGAAAGTTTACCTGAATAATGGTTATAAAAATGATAGTAATAATATTAATAATAATAATTCATTTTCTTCCAAACACACACACACAAATAAAGCTATATTAATATATTATTACAATTAATTTTGATAACATCAAAAAGTTTCGTAAATATCACCAAACGACACATCTTAATGATTATAATAATAGTAAAAATAATATTTGTAAGAATAACAATAATAAAAATAGCATTAACAATAACAACAAAAAGATAAATATGATAAGACTATATCTCAACATGGTAAATCATTATTTAAAAATTAACTGAAATACTCTATTTGTCATTCATAAATGCTAGAAAATGAAACGTTTAAAAATGAATCATAATGTAAGGAACGATGTTAGTATTATTATTATTACTATCATTGTTATTATTGATAATAGTGATAATGATAATATTAACAACAATATTAATAATAACAATAGTAATAATACTAATATGAATAAGTATAATCTGCATAGGCTCTTGACTAGATTTATATTCGATTAAACAAAAAAACACGATAAAACAGAATGAGTAAATAAACAAACAGAAATGAATAAACAAATAAATGCTTGAGAGTATTATTACTATTATTAGTTAAAATGAAAACTAATTATTTGATTAGATAATGGAATTGAGGAATGATGCAATAGAACAATAACAGTAATTATTTGTTCCGTACCCCTCACAGAATTTTATACGATTCAACTGAGAAAATTTGAACTTCGCAGTGAACTGAGCCGGTATTGAGAGTAAATGTTGTCAAAATTCGAAAAATTCATCTGTAAATGAATATACATCAAAACAAATTCTTCTCATCATTGGTAAAGCATGAAGAGAATAGAAGAAGAGGAGGGGATCAGGCTGGACGCGAACAGTGGGAGTATACTCTGCGATCGCTACAAAACTTGTGGTGCATTCATTTGCATAGAAAGATAAGAAAATACTTGAATGGCAATAAAAATACGTAATATTATACTTATACTAAAATCTCAATAATACAATCAGTGAAAGATAAGTTCAAAATCGAAATTAACTTAAGTATATTCAATAAGAACGCACATATGAGTATACGTGCGTGTTTAACGTCAATTAATGCGGAATAGTGTTTGCGATTACTAAACAATCTGTGACCCTCATTCAATCTTTATTGCAACAAATTTACAATAAGCTTTGCCCGTTTATTTCATTCGGCTCTCACTGATAGCTCCAACAAAATTCAGTAATTGATCCAACCACCCATTAGTGCCAATATCATAACGTGATAACACCTATCAAAAAAATTGCTCATGAACCTCAGCGCATTTACTGTTGTCATTGCTGTTACCATTATATTACCATCAGCACCATTATCATTATTACTAACATTATTATCGATTTATTATATTAACTGAGAGGATGAATGAATAAAAACAGAAAATGCGAAAGAATGAAGAAATCTGACGTAAAATAATTCAAAGACAAAATAAGACGAACGAATCCAATAGGTAAGACTAAAGATTGATCAAAAACATAGAAAGACTCCTGGCCGGAAAACTTTTAAAAAACGTCAAATTGCATTCACTACTTGAGAAACATTTAATATAATATCAAGAAATGATTAGAGTGATTACGTATCATTGAGAGGTACCGTGGACGACTCACTTCTTTAGAATAAAGCTCAACTTTTGCTTTTAACATTCGCCGTATCTATCTAATATTAGTATCAACCTAATGATTAATCATCTACTATAAATTCAACATTTATTTTGATTCAAACACTTAATAACAGTCCCAACATCGGTACGCTCTGAAAACTTCATAAATAGGCATGCACACGCTGACATTTAATTTTTTTTTGTTGCAAAGGAAGAGAAACACGAAGATAGGTCAAAAGCAAAAACAGCTGAGCTTATAGCTCGAAAACGCATCATTATGAATGGATATCGTTTAAGCAAAAAATTGATCCACCCAATAACGCAGCCACTGTCATTATTATTATTGTAGGAAAATCAATGGATCAAAATTTCAAAAATATTTCATTTGCATCTTCCTAGCTTACATTCAAGCAAATATATCAGTTAAAGAACTGAATTAAATACGAGATTACTACTCACTTCGGAAGAAATAAAAGACGATTACAAATACTGACTTCATTCAGTGATGAACCAATCACATACATTATTACTAATAACGAGCAATAGAGCTATTTTCTTAGATCAGCGAAGCTGAGGATATCAACCCAGAAACTTTTGTTGTGCAAATACCAATCCATTACTTCACACAAACCAATCTGTCCTGCTGCTTTCACACACTTCTCACCAATTCCCATCTCCACTGAGCGGTAATTATACGCATCTGCGTGCGTGCATCTATGTTAAAACATTATTCGTCAATTCTCATAGCACCAAACATCAAAATTCGACGGCAACTTCACAGAAAGTTTGACATAAACAACTACAATACTGATAAAAGTAATAATAACAACAGTAATAATAATAATGGCAATGATGATAATCATTACTAATAATATGATAATAAAATAATAATATAAACGATGGTAATAATACCGATTGTGATAAGGATAATAAAATAGCACAACGTCACCATGACGTTCAATTTTCGAATGATGACGTTCTGAATTTTGTCAATTCTGAGCTCAGTGTAGATGTGGAAAATTTCAAGCCTTTGTTTAAACTGGATATTCTGATTAAAATGCCCAGACAAGAAATTGATAATTTCGCTCAAAATGGATGAATTAAGACTATTCAACGACAATATTTGTCGGCGCATTAATATTATTCTGTCATGGTTGGATCAGTTAGAAGCATCTTCGTATAACACTAGATTGTGAAGTGAGTAAACGGACCTTGTTGCAATGAAATTAATAATCGTGACTGATAGCTTCATGAATGGTATGATCGCTTGCTGGCTTCAAAAAAGAATACGAAATAAAATATCATCCATAAGAATAAACGAACAAAGAGCGAGGACAGCGAAGATCAGTTGGAATTTGCAAGAACACAAAAACAGAATATGTAGAATTGATCCTTCAGAGAACAAACAAATCAGCCTTTCAAGATTGCTATTCGAAACAAAAAACACGAACAAATAGAGGAAATAAATGAAATGCTACAAAACATCTTATCATCATCATCATCACCATCAAAAATCGACAATAAATCAAATGAACAAATAACAAACCAAATCAATGAATCAGTTAATTCTTCAATAAATGAATCAAGTAAAAAAATCAAGAACAGCACACGTCACACATGAGCAATTGAGAGTGGTGTGTCCAATGAGATACTCTTTCCAATACGCTGTGAATATGTTGAGCCACTACTAGGACTCCACCGTTGCACAAGTGGCACCTTTTCGACATGAATTTTATCATTAATTTGTTGTGGATGAGGATGGGCCTGAGGCTGATGCTGGTGTGGATGTTGTTGGCAGCTAATCGTTGTAGGAGGTGTTTGTTGTTGAGTGGCACAGGTGAGCTGATTAACAGCACCACTCGTCGTTATGTTCGATGACGATATCACGGTTGTATTCGTGTGTACACATGACGGTGATAAGCGTGATGCTGCTACTGTTGAATATCCACCCCGAGGAGTATTCATCATCGTGGTTGTCGGTAAAAAGCCAAATTCATCGACAGCACCACCTGCAGCGGTAGTATTACAGCAACTAGCTGTGGTCGTACTACTACTATTACATTGACTATCGACGAGCATTGCTGGTGGTAGTGGAGCTGCGTTCGTTGCAGCAGCATTAATGGGATTTGGTGAGGATGATGAAGGTGAATGTTGTTGTTGATAATGGTAATACGGGTACGGCTGTGGTGCACTCGAACGCTGCATCAAGGCAGCGAGTGCAGCTCGTGATCGGTTCGCATCCGGACTCGTCGACGAGTTGTTACCATCTGCAGCAGATATCAGCCGTGATGAGCCTCCTGCACCCGGACCCGCACCGCTTGTTGCAACCAGAGATAAGTATGACCAAGCTCCTGGTGCCACTCCACCACCGCCTGCAGCACCACGCATTGAATTACACGATTGTGTGCTTGCAATTGAACGTCTCTCGTCGAAATCATCTAGTGACGAGCGGAACGCTTTCACAACGCGAAGCTGCAGAGAAAAAAACATTCTTACAGCAATGAACAAATGTTTTTAAATTATATATTTAAGAAAGACAGAGAATGAGGAAAGAACAGAGAGACGCATGGATAACGCCACAATGGGCGCTCTTAAAAGGTCACCCATCATCTAATTAGTGCCACCCACGTTCAGTTATAATGTTGTCAACAGCTATGTTATCGGTCACTGTGTTCACCTTAATAATGCTACCTACCTTTCGATTTGATGAAAAAGCGGAAAGAGACAAGAGAAAGAAGCTCACTGGAACGTGAAAATCGACCAGAACAATCCATATTGGTCAATCATCAACGTGCATTCGAGTGCGATTTGGCAAAATCTAACGCCACTAGGGAATGGGGCAGGACAGAACCAGCGGACGAAATGACTGTTTCGATTTCGGTCTGTCAAAAAGTTCATGTCAGCCAAAAAGAAGTTCCAAACAACTTGGTTCTCATCAACAACATTCTCTATCTCTTGCTGAGTCCTAGTTGCACTTTGCCCTAGAGATTGCGAATAAATACTCATCATCATCATCATCTAAACAAACTAAATTTCAACTCAACTAAACGAACGGAATAGAATCAAATCAAATCGACAGTCAACTCAAACAACGAATCGAACTGAAGTAAACTAACATGATAAAATCAAGAATGCACGCATTACACCACACACCACTACTAACAAGAGCTCGATGGCGAGAATGAAGCAATCGCAGTGAACAGCCAACGAAGTGCAAAAACCGTCGAAAGGAGCAGTACAGAATTTGGAAAGAAAGGAGCACTTCATGCATCATCATACCCTCAAACACATGCGTATAACCCTAACGGATCATGCCAATTTTCAACCAACCGGTAATCCATAATCACGATCACAGCTCAAGCACCGATAGATCACAAGTGTGAGCAATAAACAACCAACAGAAGATGAATTACGTCAAAGATGATTCCTCCAAATCCTTCCGAATAGGATTCTGAGTCAAACAGGCACGGAAGGAAACGTTCGTCGCAGATCAGAGAGAGGAATGATGGAAAGAACGGGCAATGCCCAAAACCTACCAGCTTCAGATAGATACGATTATCCCATGCGGATGGATGACGTATCCAGTTTACCGTCATCTACTTCATCCAATCACCAGCATCTGTTCTCTTCACATCTGATCATAAATGGATGGAATTTTGGATGGATTGACAAATGAGGCAACGACAACAACCTCTAGAGAAAAGGAGAGGCAATAATATATCTACAACATCGAAAGCCACACCACGTTTAATAACAACAACAAAAATAAAAACAATATCAATATTAATGGCGATCCAATATTGGTCGTATATAATGACAATTAAAAATACTCCCCTTCACCCTTTCCCACAGAAAAAATCAATAAGGGGATACAAAAACTAATTCGCAAATATTATCCATCCACCAACAAGAACATATCTCTATTCAGCAACATCATTAACTATACATCACAAATGAAATATCTTTCAGAAACATTCAAAAACGACAAGCACAAGAACTAATGCTAAATAAAGGCAATCAGGAACTCTGCATTTGATGTACCTTAACAATGATCGACGACATTCATTTGCGATCTATAACAACAGCAAAGATCAACGAAAAAGAACGAATCAGTATCAAATCATTTGAAAGAAATAAAGAGCACATCAATCAATCCACACGACACTTCATATCAACACAACTCAACAAATATCTTATTGCTGATATAAATAATCGCGTTGCAATTCATGCAAACAAATTAACCTTATGAATGAAACTAAATGGAACAGAAGAGTGTGTGGAAAAAAACAAGCAAGGAAACCGATTCATTGTGAAAATGAGAAAAATTCATAAGTTTAATTTCCGCGAAAAACTTCCAAAAACGATTCTCATTAAGTTTCCACAATTAATCGATGTGAAAGTGCAGCATCTCTTTATCTCTCTCTACGTCAGTTTCACATCACTCAACTTAATTTCAACAGATTTTTGATTTTCACTTCCGTTTGCTTACTGCATTATTATTGTGAAGAATAAATATGATGGAAGAAAAATGGTGATGAAAATTGATTTTTTGATCTATACTACTTGTGTGAATATTTCAATGATGAGCCATTCCTAATACATCAATATTGTTTTTATATTAGAATCATTATTCTTTTTTATATTCATTGATTATATCTGTTCGGCTAGCACTACGTGTACTGCAGCCAGAGGCAAACAGTCTCAATCCATTATACTCAAACCACATGTGAATTTCATTCCCTTTCCTCACAACTTCCCGCATATCTATGCGCCTGATCTGATGGAGATCATACGGCAACTGGCTAGTTATGACTGCTTTATTCAATTTTATAACAACTGCTTAATCATTATTATGATAATGATTAACCTTCACAAGGAGAATGTGTAAAGCTGATTAAAACAATAACAATAATAATCCGGTAAACATTACTACCGTTGCTTTGGTCAATTTTGAACTTTTCAGATTGGAAAAATTTCAGACAAATGAATTAATTAATTAAGAAATAAATACGCTACAAATAAATAACAAGTGAATGAATAAGTGTAATTTTAAAAAATAGCGCTCAGCTCCGCGATCTGTCTGTTTTCATTTGGTAGGCAAATTTCTTTTATAAAAAAATAATAAAGGAAAATGATAATGGGTCAGAGTAAGTTTGATTCTGACAATAATTACTTAGCAACTAGTCCGGTTGGTAGGGTGGGACATAACGCCGCAAGCACTAGCGACAGTAACAGGGTTGTAGTGGTTAATTCATAAATAAATTCCTCACAAATAGACAGCTGAAAAAGTGCGAAAGTTTGAAGGAAAAAAGCAGCTATGTGAATGAAAAAAAAACGAAATCAAATGAAAGAGTGGAAAAGTCGGAAAGAAGGAGGAAAAAAGAAAAAATGTTTTTAGTGGTTGACAGATGTTAGGAAAATGCAGGTAAGGTGAGTGTGAGTAACGAATGAAGGTAAAGAGAATTGAGATGCAAAAGTAAAAATTACAAAAAGCGCGAAAAGTTAGTGATGATGATGGGCAGGTGCTAACCATGATACTGTAACAACAACAACGGCATCGACAACGATAGGATCGCTGCTTTTTAGGAAACGCTTCCGGCACCGATTCAAAGAAGAATCCGCTCATTCAAGAGAGCTGAAGGAATAAATATTTCATATAAAAAAGTCAATTCTTTCTTGCTATCAGTGGTAAATAACAATAACAAGTGATGGTGATGATGCTGATAAGGATAATGAACTGAAGTGGGCGTGCTTCAACTCTGTCAATCAACGATTTAGGGCACAAGCCATCGAGCGAGGGTAAGCTTACAACTTGTCTCTTGGAACGATTGCTAGCTGTATGGGTAAATAGGAAAGTGGATAGACGAATAGGACTTCGAGATCATAATGAATTCATACTGGATATGTTTTCATGCAATAAGTTTTCTTTTCATTCAGTCGAACAAAACAAACAATGCACAAGAAAATTCCACTAACAAAAAGAACAGACAACATAAGCAGCTAGGTGTTCATCTGACTTGTGAGTAGCCATCTGTGACGTTCGTCATACAGAGAGGAGAATATTTTTTTTGCAGACATTTATCAATTCAAGCAATTTTCAGTTTCCTCCTCAAAAGAAATAACAAACAAACAAACGAACGACAGCAATACATTATTGTGATGATGATGACGAAAGCAAGTAATAGATAGAATAACGAAACTAATATCAATGAACAATTAAAAGAATAAAACAATAAACAATTACCGATTTGCTACTGAATGATAAGTCAGAAATAGTTTCACAACCAACACATTGATCTTGAAATTTCTTTAAAAAATCCTATATTCATATCGAAGAGATCTTATGAATGTTTTGGCAGATAAAACATTATGTCACAAATAAGATGATTATTTTGAAGCGTATTGTTTGATGACATGTCTTCAAGATGGAATAAGATTAATATTTTGAAGTATACCCTCTGATAACATGCATTAAGGATTTGAAAAACAGAAACACTTACATTTAAATGAATTACTTCAACATATTGATACTGGAACATGAAGTTATTCATCGAGCATTTTTTAAAACTTTACTTTTCTAAAGCAGTAATTTAATAGAGCAAAAACATCGTTAATCTATGCAAAATTAGTATTATAAGTATATATTTGGTTCATGTAGAAGAAAAGATTAGAAATTGTTTGATGACGAGTAATCATATGTGTTTGTGTGTTTGAATAAACTGAATATTAGAAGAGAAAGATGATAATGAATAATTTCTACTACTAATTCTAATACTATTATTATAACACCATATGTATCTAATGATAATCAATCGTATTTTCGTAATGATTTCACTCAGAATTCAATGAAATAAGCAGCAGAAAACTGAATAACTTTCCAATATGCTTAAGTACAAGATGAAACGAAAAAGTACTGTTCCAACAGGTCGCAAACATGCCACGACGCTATTTCGTTGTAACCAAGAAAGTTATGTTCGACAGTCAAGAAGAAAAATAATAATACTGAACACAAACTAGAGGGAAAAACCCCGAAAACCAGGAGGGAAAACTGAAGAAAAAACCAGCAACAACCACAGACAGATTTCAGCGATACTGAAGTGTGAAGATATTATAACAAGATCATGTCATCTAGCAGCATTTACTACTGACAATCATAGATGAAAAACAGTCGTAGTAGGAACAAACCACTAGCAATCCCGATGCGAAAACTCATGATAATGATATGCTGATGATAATAACAATAGTAGCAACAATAACTAAACTAATGCAAATTAATGTTATTATTTTATGAAAAATAAATGATGTTCAATAATGTGGTGAGGTGCGCATTACTAATAAGGTGAAGATGGATGAATTAGAAGAGCAGCAAGAACCTTTCAGGCAACGAACAAAACATATCATCCTGTTCATATTTGCCAAATAGATAGGTACAAATTAGTACATAAGTCGCTTACAACTTGAAAGGGACAGGAGACTGTAAAAAAATAAAATAATTAAATATATACCGATCATATCACATTCTGAAATCAGATCATTCTACTGATCACATCACATCACTATCGCGATTCAGTATCGTTTTTAAAGTCTTCACAATCAAACTTTACCACTCTCTAACTTATTATAAAGTACAAAATTTATCTGTATTTCTAGTTCATAAAGAAGTTGTGTGCAAATATTCTAGTAATGTACAAGTAAGATTTACAATAAATTATTGTCGTATGCAAATGTAAGCCAACGAATCAACGTTGAAATCGCATGAGTGATAGTCATAATCTGATAACAAAACCTACAATAGTGATAATAATTCTCATAATAGTATACTATTATTAAGCATTTTTAATTACCTTGAAGCAATGTCAATAAGGAATGTTTTTGTTTCTTTGCATCTGAGATGTTTTTGTTGATGTTCACAATACATACTGATTTTTGAGAATATAATACTAGGTATTTTACTCGCTGCACTAACACATCGCCCACTTCTTATTATCATAACTACTACCGATAGCGTAAATATTACTTTTGATGATACTTCGATATGAAAACTGATATAAAAAAAACACAAACACTAATTGTGCAACCAAACACAACGAAAAAATAATCAATGAAGTAATATTATAAGCTAAAATTTTTGGAAGTGCTTTTTCAAACAGTTAGAACGAATGCACATTAGTAATTTCAATTAGGCATTTGTGAATCTTTTCTGAGGAGATCGGAGAAGAGGACTGATCACTGAGTATATGTGAAGACTTTAAAATATCGCATTTGCTCACCATCCTTCAACTATTAACTATCTACACATTTTCTCATTAAATATCATCAACTACCAGCAGCACAAATGGAACAATTAATTGAGTCAACTGAAAATACTAATAATAATTAATAATAATAATAATGAATAGCAATAATACCTATAATAATAGTAACAATGAATAAATAATAATAAAACCAATAATGATAACATAATCTCGAAAAGCGATCATCATCCATAATAATTATAAACTAACTACAATTCAAAGACGTTCGCTTGCTCAATCACAACACAACAACACTAAAATTCAATTCACTTCGAGAATAATTCCCGAGCCAGCTATTCAAACAAATAAATGAACGCATAATAAAACATACGAATGAATTCACTGATCAACGCCCTAATAACTTATTAAATTCATTAATGCATGATAACAATATTGAAAAAATTAATTTGATATTTTATGACGTACGTGTATTTGTGTGTATGTGTGCAAGCTGGCATTCCTGGCTGGGGAAAGGAATGGATTAAAACAGAGCAGGAAGGAAGAAGACTGGAATGGATCCGTCGTGCTGCTAACAACTAATAACCACCAGTGTTTAGTGCAATATGATAATAATAATGATACTAACTACAATAATAATAATAGTAATAACTGCAACAGTAGCAGTAATAATAACTATAATAGTAATGATAATGTAACATTCCGCGAATCATTCACCGCTCTTCAAAATTCAAACAAAATAAACGCAAACAAAAAACTTTCCGTAAAATGAAAACAAAACAAACAAAGTTTAACTTAAAAACAAACACAAAGAACGAACCATTGATGGGGTGGTCACAAATGACAAACAAAAAATTATGTTCATGAAAATAAGTAACTGAATAAAATGAAACGTGAAGAAGAACAAGAATCGAACGAAATCGATTCAAATAGCAAACAAACAAAATCAATCAAAGAAACAATCAGTCATATCACCACTACTATTTTAACTAGTTTCTCTTCAGTATAACACATATTATAAGGATGTTTTTGCCTTTAAAAGTTGACTGATTGATTGGTTATTTGCACGAACCGTTGAGCCACTCTCTCTTATCAACTTTTTTATTGCTGTCTCAACATCTAGACGCTTCAAATTAGCACACCTACCCATTGTTTTTCTTTCTCACTCAAAAATCAAATGCGCGCAACAAATCAACAAAATCGCAACGATATTGTAATTACTATTGCTGATATTATCATCAACATTACCACTAATAGCGCCTCAATTCAGATTTTCATTACCTCCAATAATATCACTACTTTCAATGCTGCCATCCCTACACCAACTACTATCAATTATGTCGAGCGACGTTTGTTCCTCACCGCGAATTCCAACGACTCAATTGTGCTTATAGAGACTATTACTGTCCAATGATTTGGCAGTTCAAGCTATACTAAGCTGTGGTAGCTATGCCGTGCCGCACTGCGCTGTTAACACAGCCTGTTGAACATACTCAGCAATCATGTTCAAACGATGAACTAACTGTTCATCTATCTATCTGTTGATAGTAATAATAAACTAATCACTTTAATCACTATAAAAATCAGTCAACTAATCGGAAATTATAAAACAGATTACACATTTTCAATATGAAAAAATATGAAATAAAATGACGTACAAATGGATCAATAAATGAACAAATAAGTTTTTTTCTTCAATTAATAATTACATGTGTGGTGGAATGTTGAAAATGCTTTAGTTTTTGTTTTGTTATTTGTCGTTCAACAACAGAATATGCAATGTTCTGTGCGTTTGAAATTCGAACAAATAATATGCAAAAAAGAATGAACATTTCAATAAATTTTTTAAAAAAATTACGAAAACGGATACGTCTGTCTCATCGTCGTTGTTGTGATCATCATCATTATTAGAATTATTATTGTAACAAACATCACGATGATGATCGTCAAATGAATAATAAAGATTTTCATTATTAACACTATTATGAACCAATGTGTACAACAATATATTATTGCTGAAATGTGCTGCAGCTAAATGAAAGAAGCATTCGCCTACCTGTGTTTGCAGTCGTGTTAAGCCCCTGATCCATAATATTTGTCCTGATCGCCGCTCATGCGTTTCCGGATCCGCATATTCACCGCTGAGAATATTCTCCGTTGACGCCACATCACCACCACCGATCGTTAAATTCTTCGGTAGGCCAGATGTTGGTATTGTTGTTACTATCTTCAAATTCATTCATTCATTTAATTCATCAAAGTAAATCTTAAATAATAAAATTACCTGTCCCCATAGTAAAACGCCTACACCGAACGCCAAACACCACAACCATTGCTCCAGATTCAACGCAGCCGTCGAGAACCAACGACCACCAAATTGCACGATAAGTACTTGCGAAACCATTGTCGAAATCCATATTACATAATAAATCGGATTCGAGAACAGTCCCTTCAATCATTCATTTACTACTAGATTCGTCACATCAAAACCACAATAAGAGAACTAAGTAAACAAACTTGAAAAATGTTGCGTTCTCCGTGGATTTTACGCGCATTAATTTCGTTGAATAATGTCATCATGACGAACGTGTTAAAAACAATCGTGAAATGCTCGGATGGAGGCGAATGCAGTGGTGCCCAACGCCCACTCTCTATCTCAAAGAATCTCTCACCTGCAATGCGCACAGTTCATTCGACCGTTCCTTACTCGAGAAACATCGATCACAACTAACCAGCAAAAATAAGTGCAAAAAGAATGAGCAGTTGATAGAAGGCGTGTCCGAGAATATTTTTGCTCATCGTTCGCGATATCAGCGGACTTGTACGACCATACGGCTTACGCTTCAACAGTTCTTCGGTTGGCATTTCGGTCGCTAACGCCAACGACGCCAGCGTATCCATTATCAAATTCACCCACAGCATTTGCACCGCCTTGAAATTTCATCTCATCAATCGCTTCATTACCAAATATCATTTACTCTCTAGGTATATTCATTCATTTGTTATACAGCTTGCGGTAAACAGTTAATTCATTCATTTTACAAGCAATGACATTGTAAAAATCACTTATATCAGAAATACTTATCTAGCATTTACTCATTTTGTCGTGAACGCATTAATTACTGAAAGAGCAGCATCAATATTGAAAGAAACAAACTTTCAAAGGCGTATCTTGAATGGCGCATGCACCAACAAATGCAACAACAACCGCAACCACATTAACGGTCAATTGAAATTGAAGAAATTTCGCAATTGAATCATATACATTTCGACCCCACATTACCGCCTATAATAGCAAATAAAACATCTCGTACCAAAATTCAATTAATTTTTAGGAAGAGCTGTTAAACGAATAATCATAATAATATCTTATAAACAAAGTTGAATTCCAACTGTACGAAAATCCTTCCAAAAATATGTCACCTTAACAATCGAAGTGAAATTATCATCTGTAAGAATAATATCTGATGCTTCTTTAGCTACATCCGTACCCGCGATACCCATCGCGAAGCCGACATCTGCTTTCTTGAGCGCTGGACCATCATTCGTACCATCACCAGTTACCGCAACCACCTCGCTGGAAAGCAGGTTTCATTTTCATTATATCGTTCACACTTCCATACAATTCAAAATGAAATTAAGCGTGACATACCGATTATCAGTGACGCGACTATCGATAATACCCTTTACAAGAGTGTATTTATCGGTCGGTTGCGCTCTTGCCAGTACACGTAGCTTTGGCCAGATCAGATCCAACTTCTCTTGACTCACCTCACCCTTTTCGTTACGAATTCTAGCGTTGAAATCTTTTCCTTCCAATGCGATGAAATCTTCACCGGGTCGTAGAATACCACATGATGTTGCTATTGAACGTGCCGTATTAATGTTATCGCCAGTTACCATTCGCACGGTTATACCGGCACGTTGGCATTTTGCTATTGCTTCAGGCACTTCTGAAACAAATAACTTTCGGTGCTTGTTTTCAATGAATGTACGACAAAACCTTGTCGAACTGGATCTTGTATACCAACGATGGCGAGGGCTGTTAAATCATTCACGATCGCATCCTCATTATCCCAATCTATTTCGCCGACAAACGAAACCTTAAATTATTCATCACTATTCGCCTACACAGAAGATACAAATCAAAAACTGCAAATATTAATAATACTAACCTCATTTTCTTTCACACTTCCACCAGGCACATAATCTTTATATGCAAGACAAATGGTGCGCAGACCATCTGAAGCCATCGGCTCAATTACATTACTCACTAAACGTTCCTGATCTTTCTGAGTGAATTTTGTCAGCACACCATCTTTGCCCATAAACCATTTACATCTGCAAATTTGTTTCAAACACTACAACTGAAATACAAGACGGGTGGAGGTGCTGAACGCAGCTGATAACATTTCCTCAAGAAATAACCACCACTTACTTCTTCAAAATAATTTCTGATGCACCCTTACTGAACACTCGATAGCCACCACGCGCTGAATCTTTCAGCTCAATAACAGTCGACATCGATTTACGAACCGAATTGAATGTATACACCTAAAAATTCACATGAGCGTAACAATTGTTGTTGTACGTAGACAAATAATAGTTCAAATGCTCAACCTACCTTGAAGATGCTTTCTTCTGGGTATTTATCACGTATGGTTTGATAGCTTTGCCCAAGTGAAACCAAAAAACCCAGTAGAGCGCATTCGGTCTTATTGCCTAACTGGGTCAGCTGTCCACCAGGCTGTTTTGATGGTACCACCTAAAACAGAATTAACAGATATAAATATGTACTTATCAACATCAAATATAATTACATGAACAATAACAATGATCATACTAAGATTGGTGTTATTAATTATACATTACGAACACAACAAATATAAACCTGAGATGCGTAACTGCTATTGATTGAGATCAAATTTACCATCAAATCCCGTGTTTCTTTATTTAGTGTTTCGAATTTTGGTGTATCTTTATAATGCACTTCTGCAAATGAATTTACAATAAAATTAAAATCTCAACCAACATAGATATGAAATCTATCATCATATTAAGTATCCTATTAATAGCAATCATATAATCCGAGATAATACGCCACAAAGAAAATTATTCAGCAAAACTCTCGTATGAAATCAGCCTATCACTAATAAATATAATCTACTTCACAAGTTAGCACACATCATGTCGGGCAAAATTCATGAATTCATTTACGATTTATCTTATTTTCAAATTGATCGATAACTTTATATCGTCAAATGATCTAAAAGATCGTTTTCAATGGATTTTTGATCTACCAAAATGTTATTTTGAACAAATCTCAAGTATTCGATACGTTCTGCCAGAACGAGCGGAAAAGCAACTTAATAACAACAGCGACAAATAACTGCAATAACAAAAATAATGCGGAATTAACCATTAATATAGGACTGGACAACAGTCATACGATTTGTGGTCAATGTTCCGGTTTTGTCCGAACAAATGCTTGTTGCATTACCCATTGTTTCACATGCATCCAGATGTCGAACCAAATTGTTATCGACCATCATCTGCAAGGTTGAATATCAGTAGACTCTGAACAAACTAGATAATGATAACACACCTTCTTCACTGAGTATGCCAGTGATAAAGTGACAGCTAGAGGCAGTCCTTCTGGAACGGCCACGACCAACACAGTAACGCCAATGATAAGAAAGTTAATGAAATGTTGAAAGTCGGCTAGACTGAACGCCTTCTCCTCGATCACATAACGACTTATCGAGAATCGCACCACCAATATCAGCACCGTACAGCCGGCAACAAACGATCCTTAAATTGAGCATATATTTAATCGATTAATCCACCAATTACAAACAATAAACAAACCTGCATAACCGATTTGAATAGCCAAACGCGTAAGCTTAGCCTGTAAAACAGAGCGTTCCTTCTTCCCTTCGCCTTCCTCTTTTGACTCATCCCCAGTACTGCTCACTCCACCATTGCTACCTTCAGTTAATCCATCTACTTTTACATCTGAAATGGAAATACTTGTATTCACATAAATATCAGCTTTTATATTCCTTCATTATTTGATAAGGACCATATTTTTCTTAAATTATTTTGCTAGGTTATATATGTGTTATTTTCTTCAACTGATTATCCAAACCAATCATATACAATAAATACAAATAAAGCATTATATAAGTTTCCTCCAAGTTGAAATCAAATGAAGATTGTTGCAATAATAATATTAACAATAACACTATAATAACGATAATGTGATTATCATTACCAGAATGATCAAACATAATAAGGATCACTATATAAATTGAAAAACAACAACAGATAATAAAGAATAAGCCAAGATATAATTAAATGATTTAGTAATCACGAATGTATAGATAGACAGACAGATAACAGAACAAGTCAAAAAAAAGAGGAAAGAGTTGAAATTCATCAGTAATTTCAATCGAAAAAGGAAAATAAGATGATGAAAACAAAAATGACAAAAACGTATTATTCTTAATTATCCTCTTCACTATTATTAAAATTAAACGCTAATCAAGTCTTTACACACTAAAGTCATAATTCTCATGAATCAGTAATTATCATAAACAAAACGCTATTTCAAAACAATAAACACACGTATATAAACACGAATGGCGTTATCTGACCAAACACTTCCTCTTAAAAATATCCCATAAAACTGAAGAATACCCCTGACCGCAACCAACCAACCAATCATAACTAGTTTCTGTCATTGAAAACAATAACAAAAATAAACAGATCAACGTAAAAATACTCGTAAACATCCCAAATAAATGAAAATCTAATCATTTTAATGGTGCTGCTGCAAGGATTATTATCTTTGCTTTACTAGAGCTAGGGGAATGAACAACTGCATAAGTAAATCATGACTGTCGCACAACAACTGACAAACAAATAGGCAACAAACAAACATACAAACAAATAAATGAATGAATATTTATCATTCATGCAATAGTGGGTGAAATGACATCGGAAAAAATTACGCATAATCAGAAATCAATCGAATAAAATGCTAATAAAACAACAACAACAAAAAGCATGAAAAATGAAATCCTTGGTAAAAACTATGTAAATTAGGCAGTGAGAAGAAGAAGTTAACTGTGAGGCAATTTCGGATGGTGCACGCAAACTACATTTATGTACAACAAATGCAATACACCACCAACAAGAATGGAAGGTGAACGCTTGGAAATGTGAGTAGAGAATTAAGAAAATTCTCAGCTGACAACACAACATTTTTCGAAATGAATCAAGAATAAAAATAATAATGAAATGAAACGATCATAAATAATCAAGAAATAAACACGAGCCAAATAATATAAACTAATCAAATAAATAAACGAAATAACTCACGATCAGTGAGTAACGCTTGCGCTGTGCCGTCCTCAACTCCAGACGCCGTAACCACTCCACCTGAAAATCCAAAAACGTGGCTAATACCAAGATAGAGATAGAGAGAGCACAGCTGCTGATATAATAATACTAGCCAACCAGCCAGCCATCTACTAGCTAGAGGAGAAGGTAAGGGAAAGAAAAAAAAGAAACTCTTGTTGAAATCATAAACACGACATCAAGAACGACTACGCAATTTATATACTCATAATAATTATTCAGAATACTCGTATAAAATACAGTACTAAATGAATTGATGTGAACGTGCATTTGAGTGTTAACGACTATTAATATTGTTCGCATATCGCACATATGCTACACAAAATCGGAAGTTGTTTTAAACACCATTTCTCAATTTAGCAGCATTAACTCAAAACCACCAATGAATATATGTTCTCAATCAAATACGAAGTTTTATCACTCGATCAATTATCACTACATAACTTCTCCGATCTACATTCCACGACACTCATACATACCATATTATATCATGTCACATCTTCTGTGTTAATATACCACATCACATTCAGTTATCACATCAACCTCAAACTCACTACTAAGTATAAGTAATAGAGCAAAATCTCTCAGATGTCACCAAGGTAACATCAGAAAGCAAGCGAGATCAATTCATTATACCCATAAGCATTTCTGCATCTAGTGATGACGACTGATACCATTGGATCAACCCATCAATCATTCTATCACTAAGCATTTCATAAACGTCGCTTCTGTGTTACATACATAAGATTATTAGTTTAAGACGCGCCCTTAAGAATTCTTAAAACTGAAACTTGAACAACAAAAGGCTTTTAACACCACAAAATATTCCCACTACTTATAATAATAATAGTTATTATTATAAAAATAACACTAATTATTATTACACGGTTCTTAATAACAGTTATACTAATGATAATAATGATAATAATAATAATAATAATAATAATAATAGTAACAATAATAATGACAATAATAATAGCAATAATAATAGTAATAACAATAAGAACAACGATAATATTAACCATACAACTACCAAAAAATACCAGCAATTCGCTCAATTCACAAGACAATAACAAACAAACGCATCTTCATCCCACAAGCAAATCCACAAAACCGAAACAACAACGATAATTTCTGCAATAAATAAACACATGAATACCAAATGAAACAATAGGCATAATGAAACAACTAACAACAACTGTACACACATACACCCATAAGCAATAACCTATATAAGCTTGCAGGTTTAGAGGACTAATCAGGGAAGAAACAAGCATCATTGAAAACAGTGAATGAATAGTATCACAAATATAAAGCAGTGAGTAAATGCAGGACGATGAATAGATAAGATTATCGTTCAAATAAATCTTGCTTTCAACTGCTTGAAAAACAACGTATCAACAGCTGTAAAAATTGGTGATAACGTATAACAAGGAAGAGAATTCCACATTGCATATGTGAATGAATGCAGACAAATGAAAAAAAGTATATGTTTACTACTCGTCTTATCAGCATTTATTCATGTTACACAGCACAACAACGATAAGTTTCTCGATTGATAATTTTTTGAACTGTTACACCTACTGGCCAAAACAGAACAATTATCAGCCCTAATAATGCACAATAATAAAGACAAACAATTCTTTCAAGCTAATTACCCGTAGTTATGAGTAATCTATGGTCAAAGTGTCATAATCACTCTCTTCTCCTATTCCTTCCACTTTTACCCTCTTTCCTCTAACCTCTCGTCTCTCCTTTAACTCCAAACAGTACAAAGTAAAGTAAAGAACCAAAAACTTCCAGATGGACGACACTCGTAGAACAAAATGTTTCAATCTTTGTTGCTGCTTCTGTTTTCCGATTAAACAGTTGATTAGTTTTACAGATTAAGTTCTTGCCTGCTTGCTAACTGATATCCAATCAATGAATATGAGAATGACTCAAATAAATATTCAGAACAATCATCTTCTTCATCCTTCACACTGATGACCTTCGCTCGACTCAACAACATCAACTGCTTTTAACTCAACATTTGCAGTGTGATGTTCTTCTTTAGTCTGAATTCAGCTTCAGATTGATCGTAACATATCACATCAAACTGGCATACATTGTTCTCATTCATGCGAATGAAAATATGAAACTGATTCTTTCACGTCATGTCACAATATGAAAGACCATGAGAATGTAAAAAAGCAAGTCAAACAAGATTCAGAAGCATATCGTACTGGAACCTGTCATCTATCCACATGAACACCTACTATAACAGTTCAACTTATCATTTCATTCCTCCACAATGAAATCCATCATCCATCCATCCAATTTGAAAAAGCACTGAACAATGAAAAGGACCAAATCAAATCAGCAACAATGACAACACCATTACCAAACAGAGGAGCACAACACAAATTTGCAAATGAAATGAAATCAAAGAATAAACGATTGTGCATAATTCAAGTACATTCATTTCTTTTAAATTCCAGCAGTTGGCCAAAACAAAATGAGACAACGAATAAATAATCCGAAAGACATTTAACATACTAAAATTAACTGTTCCTTAAATCCATTTTTCCAGTTTCCCGGAAAATTTTTCCAAAACAATTTTAATGATAACTGTTTTTGCGAGCGACAATGCTTTTGCATTTTTCTAGTTTACAGACTGAAATCTATATTACGTTTCTTCTACACATACTGAAGCTATAAGCCATCAAAAATTTCTCACACTGGCTTATTAAAAGTTTCTTTGCCTGGAGCGCACACCACTGGACAATAGATCGACAGAGACAGAAGACATTAACAAGTAACACGCATATAGTTACATCTTACTAGCTGTTTTGCTTTTTCGAGGCGATTGTCGCTCTGAAGAGATATCGTTCAACAGTCTCGTTCCACGATAAATACGAACACATTTACAGAACTAATCAATGAGCAAATAATGTAAATTGTAACAACTAATAAAAAATAAACACTATGCGGTACGGTAAAACACTATCTATTACATATATGAATTATTAAATAAAGCGTCCATCGTGCACCTATTCCATCAATTTAAAAGAAAAAATCGCAAAAATCAATATTCAGTATTCATTTGCAAGTGGATCATCATAAAAAGGGTAATAAGCACGAAGCCACTAAAAGACGATAATCTGAATGAGGTACGGGTATGGACTGCATTTGGGCTTAGGCTGAGGCTCATACCGAAGTTGAATTATCTATTAGACAAATAGGTGGTTCTTTCATACTCAGGTATTCAGTTCAGGTATTCATTTAAAAAATGTTTCCCGGAATAAGCCTAATTCCAAATTAATCCATCGCCGTATCCCATTTCAACTAATATCGCTTGGAAGTCACTACCTTACAAACAATTGAAAAAAAAATTTTTTTTGAAATACGCTGGTAACAGATAAGCAGAAATGAGTGACGAATGCACTTAATAATTCAAACAGTTACGGTGATTAACTACTTGACTAATACAACCTTATCCATTTTTTATACACATTCAATTGACCTCCACGTAAAATGCTACTCTTGATGCTGCTGTATTTCAACAAAATTTTAGAATAACGCTAACGAAATATCAATTGATTTCGAGAAATAATTAACTAATGAATGAACAAAAGGATTACATTACACTCACCGGATACAACAGAATAAAACAAGCACTCAGTTGCACGCAAATTCATTCAATTGGGACATTCATTTCTCATAAACACCAAATTGAACTTTCTCCATTAGATTCAAATATCTATTTGCACATCTATCATCCATCCATTCATTTATCACATATCCAAAGTCATAAATACACACACGATTAGCATCAGCATTCTTACAACTGCTCACTGCTGATTCATTTTCAACAATCAGTATTGTCACTTCAAAATTAGATATGACAGTCAATAGTTCTAACGCTACGGTAATATTCAGTAATTAATCATGACATCATGTGGCATTTATACATAAATAGAACGAAGTGAGTGAACAAAAGAAACTGAATTGGTGAGCAGAATTATGGAAACGGGAAACATCCGTTTATAAATAAAATGAATTTTTGATTTTCGATAAAATGAATTAAAGCAAATTGACTATTTTGCAAAATAAAAGAGTGTTCTTTAAAGATTCAACGATTTTTATAAAAGAGAGGTAGAATGCGGAAAAAGCAAATCAATAAACAACAAGACGAGTAAGAGTGAATGATAAACCTTCACGTTTCGCTGCTTTGCGCTCCTCTTCGACAGCCGATTTAGCTGCACCCAATAATGTCATGATGATACCGGTCTGTGAATTAACACCAACTGCGGTCACCAACATTTTGCCACTGCCTTCCATTACGTGTGTACCTAAAAAACACAAAATTAAAACAAAATGAATAAGAAGCAAAGTCATTTGATAACAGCGATTCTGAATGTATTTTTCTTAAAGGAACCAAACAAAGCAACCGGGTAAAATAAAAACGGAACAAATCATTGAAGATAATACCGAACAGCGGATAATCATGAGATACAAGCAAACCTGACAAAAGCATCGGATCGTGCTCAGGACTCTTACGAATTAAATCCGATTCACCGGTCAACGATGATTCATCAATTTTCAGATCATTGCTTTGCACCAAAATACCGTCCGAAGGTAATAGATCGCCTAGAAATGTGCAGTTTAGTCAATAAACACATGGAATATACGAACTTTATAACCATAATCATATTGAAAACCACTTTCACTGTTGCATCACGCAATCAGAGTGAGTAACAAAGATGACTGGAAATTGACCGTATTTGATTTGGGCGATATCACCAACAACGAGCTCATTAACAACGATCTGTATTTGATTGCCGCCTCTGATTACGGCAAATTTATGTTCAGTTTCGATTTTTGCTTGCAAACCTGAAAAGGTTACAGAAAAAATTATCAGCATTTTGTTACAAAGCATACCAGGAAAAGTCGATTGCATCGAACGGCATAGTGAAGGGATCACTAACCAACACACCAGAATCACACAAAACTTCTGCGTGTGTGGTCCGAAATTTCGTTGATTGTTGGCATTTCATGATGATGAGATCGATGCATTTCAAAAGAAAACGTTTAAACGATGGACTGATTTCTTTTGGCAACTACATTAACAGATAGATGGCGGCTGAAAACGTAGTGAGATGTGATCGACAGATCTCCAGCCATTTTTGAAAAGCGGAGGAGGACGAACCTCTGAATTGACGTTCTTTTGTATAATCGTTCAGCGCTGTGACAAGTACCACAACAACGACTGAAATTAATATAGCAACACCTTCAATCCAGCCAGCTTCATGTTCAGATGGATCTGCAGAACCTACAAAGCATTACGATTATAAATGTAAGCAAAGCCAAAAAAAGTTGCAATCAACTAGTTCACTTCCCTCATTAATCTTACAAACATGATTCATTCTCAAGTACCACATTACCTACTGATGGAATCTGACTTACTGATTAATAAATTTGCAAAATGAATTAATGAAATTCATGAAGTGAAGCAATTAAAGGATTCTATTCTATTCAATTAAAGTACCATATTTTATTCAAAATTAAATATATTTAACCTGTACCATCGTTTGGCGGACTGTAAAATGATAAAGCCAATGAAACAATTGCGCTTACAAGCAGAATTATAAGTGTAACGTCCTGAAAATTGTATACGCATATTGTGCAGCACATCAATTCATAATTCCTGAGTACTCATTCAATAATTATTCCTGTCATTAGAACATTATCATTATTGACCACATGAATATGAACTTCATTGATAATAATGAACAGTAATAAAAACGCAATAGTGAATAAAACATTTCAATGACCTGAAGAGCCTCCCAAACCAACTGAAGAAATGATTTGGGCGGGTGAGGTGGTATTTCATTAGCGCCGAAAACTGCTCGCCTCCTGTCCAATTCATCATTATTTTGCGGTAAACCGTTCGCCGAATCGGTTTTCAACCTTTTGCAAAGTCCTTCAATACCTGAATAATCTGTATCAATTTTTTCACGAGCCTCTGCGCCACGATATTCCATTAACGTTCGTAGTTCCTCCACGGAGCAGCCATATTCACCTGGGCTGCCCATGGCTAGTCCGAGCTGAAATGAAATCATAACAGTAACAACCACTATTATTCTTTTAATTAACAATCATAATAATTAACCTAATAATAGCGAAAAGAATAAACCTGCGGCTAGATGGAAGCCTTGCACCGTTTGCGAGACGTTAACCCGCCTTTAACCGTCAGCAATCAAAAACCACTCCAATTCGCTCGTCCAGGTCTATAATTTAATGTAACTTCATTAATAATAACGTCCATCATCACCACGATGGCTAACATTAACGAATGAAACGATTCGAATTTCTTCACCACGAATGAATATAATCATATGATGCATTTCTAATTACGGTCAACAACAAAGCACGCTGATATGATAAAGATAATATAAGTTACGAGTACACAACACACACGAATGACTCGAATAAATCAATTATAACTTAACACAACTTGCGTGGATGATTCAGAAAAGAATTTCATCCCATAAATACCGGAAAATTAGAAGTGCTCACAGATTGAAACGTTGAATGAACAGATTACCAACTCTGACATAAACGAACTGAATATACTTCCAACGAAAACAACATCAATGTTAAGAAAATCAATAACATTCATAACAACATTCAACAGTTATCATAACCATTACTTTTGTTTACGGAGATTGGCGAATAAACTGAACAAGTAGCTTAAAATATTCGCAAAAACAAACACGATATCCATTCACGCAAGTTGATAAGATCAGATAAATTATTCTAAAATTTAAAAAAAAACAGCAAAAAAAAGAATGTACAATAGTAAATCATAAATTCCAATGCAGTGAATCGCCAAAAAAGTTCAGATCGCCAAAATAATTCAATCAACGTTGCGTTGTGCAATTAGATCTTTCAATATTAAAGTAAAACTGACGTCGAGCGAACAGTATTAACCAAAGATGGGCGATAGCGCGCTATTCGCTAACTGGCGGAAATTAGCAAATTAGCCCTTCCACTGCTAGCGAAATAGCTATTCCGTCTTGGCGATAAAATAATAAGAAACAAAAATAAAATTGATAAAGATGAATGAATTGTTGAATACACAGAACGTGATAACGAAGATGTTTATTAACCTCCACATGGACTGCAGTTGTTTGCAATGAACAAAAAACGCTATAAATAAATAATGATCCGCACGGAACGTTCAACTGCTATTACAAATTAGTCTTAATGAGTGGACATAAAATTCGGTATTCCACTGCGAAGAAATCCAAAAATGAACTAATATTGTATGCTTTTGCTGAAGAAAACGACGAATGAGCGGAATGAAAATTGAAATAAATGAGGGACAGGATATTGTGAGAGTTTTTTGGATCGAAATATCTTGTTAATCAGACACTTCCAAAGTGTAATTAAGCTGATGACCAAATTAACTAATTAGTTTGGAAATTTTGCATGAATGAAATGTAAACAAGGAAATAGCAGTAAAAAAAACAAGAAATGCCCCAAAAAAAGCTCTTTTGATTAGGGAAACTGGCCCCGCTGAAAGGCATGCAGGCCAGAAAAGAGTCAAGCAATAACGCTGTTAACGAACCCGATGTGGATGTGTGTATGGATGGATTGATCGAATTGTGTTCTCTTCTCTTTTCATCTGTTTTGCTCTCATCTGCATTATGCATTCATCTTTTCTCAATTCTCGACTCAAACAGCTGCTTATAATCAATTCCCGACAATTTAAAACTAACTACTACTCAAATAAACTCATACAACGCTCCTCTCTATATCCCCACATCAAATCTCTTTACTTCTCTGCAACAGCTTCTCAACTAATGCTGCAACCCTGAATGCCCACCCGACTCGATTCTTTTAGCTAATTCGTCAACTACACCACTGTTCTTGCTATATGCATTTATTTATTCTGCATTCAACACTCTTTCTTCAGTTGTTTTTCTTCACACGCAACTAACCAACTAATGCGTTCAGCCTTTCTCTTTGCTTCTAATTTCTACTGATAACAGTCCAATTATCACGGCCACTGTCGTACGCATAGCTATCTATATTGGCTATTCAGCCAGCTACTCAACACCAACATGAAATGAAACGCGAGGGGAATGCGAGGTGAATGAAGAGTCTTCTATTAAGTTAGAAGCGAGCTTAGACGAAGATCAAAGCCAAGAAGTAAGAAAGAGCCAAGACAAACCAACCATGCCAACTTGCTGAACGTCTAGCAACGGTGTAAACAGAAACAGAAGCAGCAGCAAAAGCTCTATAACATCCATCCATTCATCTAGCCATCTAACTGTCTATCCATTAGTACCACAAACCATCACCTCCTAAGCTTGATTCAAACCACTTCGCTCATTCACACATTCACTTACTTACTCACACAGCTTAATAGTTTGCAAACCCGGTCCGTTCCCTCATTATTTGCTTACTTGTTCGTCCCATCTCTTCAATAACATGTCACAACGTGAACATAATACACGTTCAGTTCTATTCTAGACAGTTATATAATTTGCTGATTACGATAACTGACAAACAGAACAGTTGTTTTCAGTTTCCATCCATTCAAACACCTGTATTCAACACCACTTACTACATCAACAGCAACTTCTCATCTGTTCACGTCACGATAGCTTGATAAACAAACGAATACCACATACTATTACAACTAAACATATGGTGGGTGCTTAGATGAATAAGGTCATGTTAACAACACATTAAAGATAAGTAGCATAACTATACGAATATAACAACACTATACTCCTATAATGGTTCTCGAATAAATGAATGTTCAGTTCACATCATCAGTATACGTCGTTCATAGTCAGTCCTGCGAACTGCTTGCCTGCTGGCTATAGACATCCATCCATATATTTAATATTACACATTTCATATGCATACCAAATTCTTTGCTCACGCTGTTTGCTTCAATCGATTTTTAATTTTCTTCTTAGCTAAAATATTTCTTCGCTCCAAATATATATTACCAATACAGATACGTTAATGTTTGCACTGAGGAGATATGAAACGGTTTTGAAAATGCAAGCTCACGGTTTGAGAATACGCCGACAATGGCTGTGCTATGAGTACCACAATTAAATTTATAATACACATTCATTGTTTTAATGAAGCAAACCGTTATCTACCCATCAATAAACTAATTGACCAATTATATGAACAATCAAAGTAATTAGTGCTCATCTAGCAACGTCCTTAGCACAACAATACCTCATAAAATAAAATCTTATAACGTTCAACTCAGAATTAACAGGTTATCTGATCACTCATTTGCTGATTCATTCATTCGTTTTGAGATTGGGAAAAAATCAATCACCGATTATTGCGGCAGTAAGAACAGAAAAATAAAAAGAAGCAAACTATGGTAAGGCATATTAAGACAGAACAAAAAAAGAGAATTTTTTCGAGAATAAAAATCTTTCGAATAAAGGTATTCGTGAAACAGAAACAAAAATGGTTCATTCACCTTCAGTCAAAATTTTCACGTCCAATTCTCATTCCATCTCAAAAATAGCATGCTTCCGTCTCAAAAACTTATCTGTTCATACAAAAGAAATAAAATAAAATATAGGGTATGAACTCGTTTTATTTTCACCATATCATTTCTATGAAAAAAAGAATGCGCATAAAAAGATATGAGATGGGTAGAACGACTGAAAAACCGTGGTATGGCAAATAAAATCAACTCGAAAGAAAGTGTCAACGAAAATAGCAAACATGATCAATACATATCACATTATGCGAACTGAATATTAGCATCATTACCAAGAATGATAATGCAGCCTTAATGATAGCGTAGTAATAGTAATAATACTATAAATGCGAACGATAGCATGTATAAGATCAATAATAAAACTTAAAACAATTACCAAAATTTCAATTCCGTCAACAGTATGAATAATCATATATAATAGTAGTATTAATAACGGTAGTGATAATCGTAATAATAAAAGTCATAATAATAATGGCAATAACAACAATGATCTGAGAATCAAACGCTTCCCAGATTTGTTTATTCATTGTTACTGACAACAGTCTGGAATATTAATCGATGAAGAAAAGCAAAATAAACCAACGCTGCGAGATAAACAATATGAAAAAGTATCTACATAAAACATAATATCACCGATCATCAAAGGCAGAGATTAGCGGGGTAGTGCAATCATACTTAGGTGTGATAACATAATTAACGAATATGAATACTTGTTTCTTTGAACAATCCAAAAAGATGATAACGGCATTAATAAGGATGTGGCGATGAGACTTGATGATATGGATGAATGGAATATAGAATCTGAAAACAGTCTGAATAAATAAATACATACAAAAATGAGAATTAGAGGGAGTTTGCTGGACGGATGAAGAAACAGAATACGTATATGGCTGCATGGCTATAAGCGAATCTGTCGAATATAATAACAAAAAAGAAGTGAACTTAGCAGTGATCTATTTATCCTTGGCATTACCAGATGTTAATATGATATATCAGAGTACCAAGAACAACAACAACAGCTAATAGTGTGTACGTTTAAATGTATCTATGCGAGCAGATATTTGACTGATGATTAGGATAATACTGATAATTACGGTTACAAGGATTGGCAAGAACCAAACGAATAATACTACTTCTAATTACCTACCTTTATTCCTATTGAAAGCATTAAATTAACGAATTCATTCAATAGTGCAACTGAAAAGAATGAATAGAACAGTTGAGAATATGAAATGAAATAAAGTGGAACAGAACAGAATAGAACAACACCTAACTTACTCATTTAGCAGCTAACTTAAATATAACAATAATCACACACACACACACACATTCGTATATCCATCCATCCACACGCACACACCAACAGCATACATCCGATCTCATTCAAATATCTTATATCCATTCTCTTCAAACCACCACCACCACATGCACACCACTTACTAACTTCAATTTCTATTTCTCCTCTTTTTTGTAATCATTCTCATTCTCATGCACATTGCTAACTCTTCATTTTCGATTGACTAGCTGCTTGACTGCAACCCACCATTTGCCTGG